GATGCATCTCTCTGATTTATATTGTTAATTTATTGAGTCCAAATTTTGGGCTTGCTGGGTTGCAGCAAGTTGCACTGCAGGGTCTTTATTTGCCTTGCTGTACATTTGGATAATTTATCGGCACACTTCACATTTTTTCCCATGAGTCTTTTGTATTTCACAACCACCTCCTGCCCTCCTTCTGTTTTGTTATTTTTCTTGTGAAACTGCCTTAATTTGAATGGCCTTAACCCTGTTATGCAAATAGTCACATCAATTTGTTATTCCAGTGTTGTCTGATTGCCAGATCTTGTGTAAAATGCATCTCACTGACACAATTGGCACATCAAACAAAATGTATCTAGTTTGTTGGCGCAACCTGGCAAACTACAACCTAGTTGCAGTGTTGATATTTGCACAGGTACGAGAAGCTAAAAACAAAATCAAACATCACTGCTTAATAGAAAACTCTCTGTGTTGGCAGGAACAGAGGGAGCACATCGGTCATTTCAAGATTCATCACTAATTCTGCATGTGAGAACTCAAAATTCTCTCTCATAAAAAACATACTTGAAAACACACAATATAAATATAAAGTACAGTATAAAGTAAGGTAATGTAAAAAACATAAAATACTGCAAAGTTTGGAAGCACTCATACAGTAACTGACCTAGAGCAATTTATTACAGTCAGGAATTCAAAGAAAATACTATCTTAAAATATAATATAATATAATATAATATAATATAATATAATATAATATAATATAATATAATATAATATAATATAATATAATATAATTAATATAATTAATATAATATAATATAATACTTGCAAATAAACTGAAACAAGATCTGACAACTAGTAGGAAAAAACACAATGTTTTACAGTGACAATCCATCACCTTTCATCTAGATTTTAGCTCTGAACATTCTTTCAATATTCTCTCAACAACTTCATGAGGTGCAGCCTGTTATGGTTTTTAAACAGTGTTGTACGTGTTCTCACACATTATGCTGAGTTTTACCTGGTTTTACCTTTTCAAAGTTCTTAAATGAAAGGTTGCACATTTAAATCAGCTTTGAAAAAGGCCATATTCACAGTACAGTACAGTATATTCAACTTAAAGATGCAATATTAAGAAAATATATAACGAGTGGCGACGCAGTGGTGCAGTAGGTTGTGCTGTCGCCTAACAGCAAGAAGGACGCTGGTTCGAACCACGGCTCGGCTCAGTTGGCGTTTCTGTGTGGAGTTTGCATGTTCTTCCTGTGTTCGCGTGGGTTTCCTCTGGGTGCTCCAGTTTCCCCCACAGTCCGAAGACATGTGGTACAGGTGAATTGGGTAGGCTAAATTGTCTGTAGTGTGTGAATAAGTGTGTGTGGATGTTTCCCAGAGATGGGGTGCGGCTGGAAGGGCATCTGCTGCGTTAAAACGTGCTGAATAAGTTGATTCCGCTGTGGTGACCCCGGATTAATAAAGGGACTAAGCCGTCAAGACAATGAATGTATTAATGAATAACAAGAGTTCAGTCTATGGAAACAGTCATACCGTGAGACACAAACACCATTGTTTCCCTATTCTCATTTAATTTCGCTAGTGTAAAACCCCGGTGAAAGATAGGGCTGTCAGAACACAATACAGACTGTTGCGTGAGTCACGAGACATGCACTCAAGATTTGCTTGTACTTTAGGTAACTTTCTATGTCATCTGGTCCTGACAAGCAGCCTCTTCATCAGGAGATCAGTAGCTATTACAGAGAGTGATATGTCGCAATGGGATCATTAATATGTATGACCCAGGCAGCATTTGATAAGCCACAATGCTTCCTAATGAGACAGCAATGATTATTCTCTTCCCTTAGTTATTTTTAAGTTTATATAAGTTATATTAAAATGACTATGTATGTGGGACTCTTATTTTGAGAGGTCAGGATGCAACATAAATACAGATTTCAGGGATATATTGATTATACATTTATTCAGCTCCACCCTGAAGAGGCATAAAGTATGCTTACTTTTATCTTATAAAATGGACTTTAAGAATTTTTTCAATCCCTCAGCTTTTCTAAAGTTAAAGAACCGCAATACTCTTTATCAAATGTCATCTATGCAGAGATTGATATTAATTCTTGATATCATTCTGTAGCTTCAAAATACTACCCAATACATCAGGGGTCACCAACCCTGTTCCTTGAGAGCTACCTTCCTGCAGAATTCAGTCCCAACCCTGATCAAACACACCTGAACCAATTGATAGTACCTAAAGCAGCACTTGATAATTACAAACAGGTGTGTTTGGTCAGGGTTGCAACTGAAATGTGCAAGAAGGTATCTCTCCAGGAACAGGGTTGGTGACCCCTGCAATACATCTTTTGTCAAGTTTAATTATAATTTAGCAACACAGCTTGTCTGTGTGTGTGCATGTCTGCATGCGTGCATGTGTGTGAGAGAGAGAGAGACACAGAGAGAGAGAGCAGGTTGCAAGTTGAAGAAGAGCACATGGATATTGAAGACCATTCCAAATATGGTCAATATGGACCTTCTGATATCTGATATTTTATAGATATTTCTGGAGATTTTTTTAACTTAACCAAGTCATATACCCAATATGTAGATTTCAAAGATTAAAGCAACTTATTGAACCTTTAAATTTTAAGCTTTTCAGGTTGTTCTTTTCACAAAAGCATTTGACTTCAGAAGCTAAAAATGAAACATAAGATACAATGCAATAGGCTAATTTCATAGTCTTTTGTTAAATTTGGAGTTTGGCATTTATATTATTATTATTATTAGAAACAGAAGCCTAAACATTCTATAAAATATATGTCTGAACACCAGTAATTTATTCAGAGAAGAAAAAAACATGTTAAACCCTTTTCTGTCATAAACTTTTTTTTTTTTTTTTTTAATAAAATACTTTTCATGTTGTTTTTGCAATTTGGCTATCAAAGACAACTTTTCATGAATTCAGGTATTTTTTTAATTTCCATTTTCACACAAAATTAAATTTTGTAATTGTACATAATGCAAAATCAGATATATGTTTCTTATTGTAGTTTGTTTGTTTGATTGTTTAGAATGTGTAGAACTGCGAATAGGAATGGATTAGCATGCAGAGGAACAGTTTTTAGGGATTACATTTCTTACAACACTTATGTTCAGCAAACAAGATTTCTTCTTCCTCACAAAAACTTTTGGCTCGTTACCTCTTGTTATTCAGAATATACCAAGCAGCATTTTTCTACCTATTCTAACTACCGCAATAAAGGAATCATTTTGATGTACACTGTTCTGCTGGAATCTATAGTCTACCTATAATCTGTAATAATAAATATATTATTACAACAAAAGTATTATGTTTATAAAGTGAGTTAAATATGTATTAAATAATAAAGATTTTGAGCAGTTATGGTAGTGTTATGGATTTAGTAATTGGAGGCTTGGCCACATAAGGTTGAAAATGTGAACCAGTTTGATGATTTTTACAGTATTTACAGAATTATAACTGAAAGGTGAAAAATAAAAATAGATGAGCAAAAAGTTTTTTGCCTTATATAGATATCATAAAGAATGTTAATTAAAGCTTCATCTTTGTGGTCATTCTCAGTTATTTCTGTCATTTTAAGGGATTTATACTTTCAAGAAATAATTTACTGTGAGAAAGCCAGTTGTCCACTTTTGGATTCTTTTGATGGTCTGAACTCTGCACCGATGAGTTCATTATCATTACAAAAGTAATGGATTCTGTTTTAAAATGATACGTCTCCTGGCCATGATGAAATACAGGATGAAGTAATTTCTTAAAGTTTTACTATACCATGTAAATGTGCATTACAATAACCATTCTCTAAAAATTGTGTTATTGATTTCATATGGAAAAAACATACAGCGAGCAGCTTTTGTTGGTAGGTCTGCATGCTAAGCTGTGGTCACGCTTGGTTTTGGAGTTGCTTATGTTTGATTCTTAAGATTAGAAATTAATGTGTACCTGACTGGTACTGCCAGCACATTTTGGCAGTGTACCATGGACACACCATGGTACCATGGTTCAAACTGGCATGATGATCTATGACCTGAAAATTCACACAGTAAAAAGGACATTTAACCAACAGAGCTTCTAAATGTCACCGCTTGACCTCTTAGCTGAATCCAAAGAACCCAAACTTAAAATGTTTGTGGGTGTCGGGTTCAAAGTCAAGTGTACAGTATATGTAGCTTTGCTGTTTAAGTACAGGCTTTTCAGCCATAATATGTGTAAAACAGACCTTATGCCATTAAACCAGAACCTTTACTCTAACTATATTCAGTTTGTTGCTTTTAATTGTTCTTTGCATTATCAAGTAGGTTCTGTCTTGACCTCTTAGAACTTTCTGTGCTTGTTGGCGTCTGTTTAACACACCTGCAAATGTGAATCGTGAACTTAAGATGTTGAAAAACAAAACTTTGTTGGTGAGACTGTGAATTAAAAGTAATAATGTTAAAATGTTACATGTTTGTTGTAAAACAATAAACATATAGCAGGGCCATAAAATGCCGGAAACTGTTTCGGTTTATTCTATTTTTTATTGAGTTCATTGAACACTCTTGCATCATTTTATTAAGGTTATTTGAGTGGGTGGAATGCTGCTTCCTAAATGAGTTCTTTAAAGTTTCACTAGCAGAAAGCAGCATATAGCATACTTAAGGAAAAAATCCCAATTGTGTTGTGAATTGCAGCAGTACAAGCAATCAAGTAAGGGTGCACGTGCAGTAACAGTAGGTTATCAGTATAAGATAACGTGAGAACAAGTGTAAAGGTCCTTAGGCGTTTGTGTAGATGTTCTTAATCACAAACAAACAGTGCGGTCTTTGGCACAACAACATAATATCGTTAAGGCATGAAAAAAAGGTTATTGTAGAAACTAAACAAGATACGCCTCAGCTGTTATTACAGTGAATCGATCAGGACTAAATCACGACACAAGATCGTTTCAGGCGCTTCCGGGCGGAAACTTTCTGCACCAAACTCGTGTCAGCCTTCCAACGTCTTGCCAGGAAAGCACACGCGCCAGTGTAGGCTACTATGATGTGCGTCCTCAACAGTGTTTCACACCCAGCCGGTGCATTTCCCAGCCTACCGGAGTACTCCACAAACGAGCCAAAGATTGGCCAGCGCGCGCTAACTTGAGAAATGAGAAGCCAAACCGGGGAATGATTGCTCTGCGTTTCCGAACGTACTTATGTCCTTTTGCTTCGACCGGACCTCTTGAATGCTTGTAATCATGGGGTTATCCCGAAATGAAACGGTAATTTGGACAGAGGAGCATATGGACACGAACCAAACGACAGACACTTTTGGTCCTGAGGTAGTGATTGTGCCCGTCATTTTCGGATGTATATTTTTCTTGGGAATCATTGGAAATACTCTGGTGATGGTTGTCATTGGGAAAATAAAGTCGAGGCGCTCGAGAAGTACCACGAACATTTTCATCCTAAATCTCAGCATAGCTGATTTATCTTTCCTTCTTTTCTGCGTCCCGTTTCAGGCTACTATATATTCTCTTCCCGAGTGGATCTTCGGGGCGTTTCTGTGTAAATTCGTGCACTATTTTGTCATGGTCAGCATGCTGGTGAGCATTTTCACGCTTGTGGCCATGTCCGTGGACAGGTACATTGCCGTGGTGCTCTCCAAAAAGTCCCCGTGCATTCGTAACCGGAGGAATGCGCTTATTGGCGTCTGTGTCATTTGGATGCTTTCCTTTATCTTTGCCGTCCCGGTTGCTCAGCACCAAATTTTGACGGATCACCCCAAGGCTCCCAATAGCACGTTCTGCTGGGAGATTTGGACTGAGCGGGTGGCCAAGCACACTTACAAAGTGACTATTCTCGTCATAGGTTATCTATTACCTCTGCTTTTGATCACATGCTGTTATGCCAAGGTAAGGAATCGCCAGTATATCTTCACCATAGCATGGAACGAAGCACTGAGTTTATTCACTTTCATTTATATGAGCTTGTTTACAGTTTACAGTCTCTAAAATGAAACCAATCTGGTGCGTGTGGTTAGTTAACCTACTCCAAATAATGGACTTTTTATTGCAGTGCGTTTCCTCCAGCTCGTGCTGTGCTTATTGCAATGGACATAATAATTAACTTTAAGCAAAATAACTGGTCGTAGCATACGAGCATTTAAACCCGTGCTTGAGAGTTTTGTTTCATCCCGTCAAGGATTCAACAGGTGGCCATGCGCCCACACAGAGAGTGCGGTTTTGTACTACATAATTCATTCTCTCTGGACCCAGAGATTCATTAAGGTCAACTACAAACAATAGCATTTAAACTAAGCTCACACACGTGTTATTGGGCATTGAAGTGTCATTTTTTCTCAGACTCCTCATAATCAGTTTAAATATGTTCCTCTTCCTTTAGCAAAACTGTATAGGCTATGTATGACTCATTGTGGAAAGTAATAAGTTCATTAGTTCGAGATAACAGTGCATGTAATTGTGTAATTACAACAAACAGTTGGTATTGCCACACTTGAACTGTGACCAATACATTGAGATTTAGCCTTTTAACCAAATGAAAGGAAACCCTCTAGACTGAAATTAAACGAGCCCAAATAATAAATCAGTTTTAGAGTTTTGTGGCTTTTGGTGTATTTTGCGTTTTCTTTAAAGAGATAGTTGACCCAAAAATGAAGATTCTGTCATTAAACATGTACCGTTTCAAACCTTAATGAGTTTATTTCTTTTGTTAAACATAAAAGATGATATGTTGAAATAAACTTGGAAAGCTGTAACCATTGACTTTATTTGTTTTTAACACTATGTTAGTCAACGGTTACAGTTGCTCAGCTTTCTTCAAAATGTCTTCTTTTCTGATTAACAGAAGAAAGAGACTGATATCAGTAAAAAAAAAACACTTGAGGGAGAGTAAATATTGATTAAATTCTCATTTTAGTGTGTGAACCATCCCTTTAAGGGCATCTGTAGAGTTTCTTCATTTCAGCAAAAATAACTTATGTATGTTTTAAAATGTACAATCTTCTCTTTCAGACCAGATTTATAGATTTTTGTTCATTCAGACATCAGATTCTCTAGTGAGAATGAATCAGCGCTGGTATAAAAAACAAAGAAGATCCATAAGAAATTAGTCTTAACTCAAATCTCAACATTTTTAACAAACTATTAACTAAGTAATGAAAGTGGTACCTTTCAACAGATTTCATGCATTTTTAGTTGTATGGATAATATAGTTAGCAATTGTACATAAATGGCACAAAAATGCATTTATAACATTTTAATTAGGTTAGCATGTTTGTAAGTAGGTTAGATAATATTTGCTATGCAATACGATATTTAATTAAAGTTTATTTGCATATAATTTTCACAATCATTCCAGTTAGGCATATATAAGATTCTGACGGTATAACCTTGGATAAAGATATCAAGGTTTCACGATATCGCTGTATTGTAATTACTGCACTAAAATATGTTGGTTTTAAATGTCTGGGTAAAAAACAACAACATTTTCTCACATTGAACACAATATATTTTATTTTAAGAAACATTTAAAATATTTTGGGTCAGCAGCTTTTGATGTGGAGGGTCCTTTTTCAGCTGGAGATACTGTTGCTGTAAAAAAATATATATAATAGTTGTTAAAAAAAAAAAACACGTAAAAAATAAAAAAATTAAAAATGTACATGACTGTAGGAAAGGTATAAAAGTTTTAGTGGTTTAAAAATCTTTACTTTTCCAAACCTTGAAAATGTTTATTGTCCCATGCCTAATTCTAGTACAACTGTCAATATTCATGGTTAACCTGCATTTATACAATATTATGTGCTTTTTCAAATAGGTGGCATACATATAATACGTATATAATATATTTTCAATGGATTGGTCTGATCATTACAATAATTAAGAACAATTTGTGTGTTGGTTAATAGTTTCTGCTATCATCAAAGTCCTTGTAGGGTTGTCGTCATCTCTTCACAGGCCTTAACAGTCTTCACAGGATCTCTAGACACCCTGGAAAACAGAGAGCAAAAGAAAAGAGAATATGTTGTTGGTTAAAATTTATGTAACCATCAACATAAGTTTCTTATTATTTCATGGAAAAAACTGCATCACTAGAGATTTCAAAGTGAACAGCAGTTGTTTACAGTTGCATATGACAAATCAGATATTTTAACAATCTAAACAAGCAAACAAAAATCAATGAAACAAATATTACCACTGCTTTGCTTTACTGGGGCAGTTAAATCAACCCTGAAAGCATCAAGAACAATCAGGAAAGCAAAAGCACTTGAAACAGAGTGGAGTTATGGATGTCTTGTTGCTTTCTGAACATGGCTTCATTGCTTGCTCTTGGTTTCACTTCCACACGAAAATCATTACAGATTTTTGTCCTGAGCATTATCCATTCTGTTTAGGTTCAGAGACATGTACATATGCCTAATGTGCTGAAAGTCATTCAGAGGGTTTGCTAATGACAGACACACATGATACTTTTGTATTAAATCATTGATTTATTGCAAACTATTACAATGTGCTCAATTGCGATATTTGGATAATATCGATATATTGTGCATGTCTGTTGCCCAGGGGATATAATGCATATCAATAAATTTACATTGACCAGGGTGTAATGATAAATGTGTCCCTGCAGGGCTTAAATGACTTGTAAATCCTATAATGTATTATAGTTTATCGTTGTCATTTCTCTCTAGAGAAGTATAAAAACTAGCAATATCTGATGTCACTCATTGCTTTCCTCATTCATTTTTTGTGAAGATTTCACATATAAACTATAAGTTTTATGGAGAATAAGTAATGCAGACTACTTTTAGACAGTAATGTGTTTCATTTGAATTTCAGGTATTGTATCATCTTCATAAAAAAATTAAAAATATGTCCAAGAAGTCTGAACGATCAAAGCGAAAGGTAAGAGACATTCTTGTACATTCTTTTTGAACTTGACAATGTTTATTCATATTAAGTTCTGTTTTCAACAAAATTTGTATTGTGCTCGAATGAAAATACTGAGGTTGTTCTGATGCTGTTTGGATTGTAGTGTTTGTTTTAAAATCCATGCTTAGTGAAACAAACCAGTTTGGTGTATTCAAACTTAATCATTTTACTTGTTGTATCAAATTTTTCACTCTTAAAACACTGAGATTTAAGTTATTGTTTTTTCAGTTAATCAGTTATTGTCAATTAAATGTTCTGCCACATTTCATAGAAATTATCTGAATAATTTTGTTAATTTAAAACCTACTGCATATCTACCGTATACAGTTCAAGTCAGAATTATTAGCCACCCTTTCAATTGTGTCCTCTTTTTTAAATATTTCCAAAATTATGTTTAACAGAGCAACAGAATTTTAAAGTTTGTCTGATAATATTTTTTCTTCTGAAAAAAGTTTTATTGATTTCATTTCAGCTAGAATAAAAGCAGTTTAGAATTTTATTTCTTAGAATTTTAATTTTATTAGAACTCTATTTTAAGGTCAAAATTATAAGCCCCTTTAAGCAATTTTTTTTTCCGATAGTCTAAAGCAGTGGTTCTTAAAGTGACCCCCTGGGGGGTCGCGAGACAATGACAAGGGGTCATTTGGTGATTTACAAAACTCAAATACATTTTATTAAACTATTTGAATTACCATATTTTATTCATAACCCACAGAAGATAGTTAATAGTGATATTAAAGTAACAACAACATTAAATTAATAAATGACTGTAAAAAAAGCATTAAATGATTAATAGACTGTTGCATGTTTATATTGTCAATATACTCCTGTTTATATATGCCTATAGATGTGTGTGCAACATTTGTATATTTACAGCATAAACATGAGAAAAAAGGAGGTTCACAAGTCATTAACATTGTTATTTTGGGGGTCGCAAGCTGAACGATTTGGGAACCCCTGGTCTACAGAACAAACCATCATTATACAACAACTTGCCTAATTACCATAACCTGCCTAAGTTAACCTAATTAACCAATTAAGCCTTTAAATGTCACTTTAATCTAAATAGAAGTGTCTTGAAAAATATCTAGTAAAATATTATGTTCTGTCATCATGGCAAGGATAAAATAAATCAGTTATTATAAATGAGTTATTAAAACTATCATGTTTAGAAATTTGTTGAAAAAATCAGCTCTCTGTGAAACAGAAATTGGGGAAAAAATAAACAGGGGGGCTAATAATTCAGACTTCAACTGTATCTTATCATTTAATGCAATCGAAACATTTGGTATTTTCTTCCTAATAAATGATACCTGCTTTGATTTTCTGTCTAATTCAGTTATAGTCATCTCTTTTTAAGTGTGACATAGCTGTCTAAATGCTCTATAATATAGTAAGCCTACAGTGAGGACTCCTGGTGGGAAATATTTAAATAGTCCAAGTTAATTTTCATGTGTATCAAAAAAGAAACATCCACTCCCTTGAAGAGCATTAATAGTGCACAGCATGAACATTTCAGACATATTGACTTTCAAATCAGATATTTTAAATGCATGAAATTGTCAGTTTTAATCACGCAGTGCATGTCAGAAACCACTGCATCTGTGGTTTTAGCTCCTCACTTAAGCTAATGGTCTATAATAGCCAGCATCCTCTAGAGTGGTCTCTTGTAACCAGTGGTGACCAAGGCACCTGTGACATTGAACCTGGAGTTGTAGAAGGATGTTAAAAGTAGGTGGAGTAAGAGGGAATGAGTCATTGTTGAAAATAATGCCTAAGTTGGGATCTCGCACACAAACTTTAAAAAACCTGATGCTTTTTTTATTTAAGGTGAATTTAACCTTTATTGTGAGGATGATTGGTGTTAGAGCACATTTACAAACCTGAGATGCGTATCTATAGCAACAAATCGCTAACCTTGAATCCTTTCATATTAGATGATGCAGTCATTTATGGGCATTGCAGGGAAATTTCAGTTTCAGAACATGGATTTGTGGGCTTTCATGTCTGTCAGTTATACAGATCTTACAGATGATGAAAAAAGAGTGAGCGCGATCTTGCATGATCAGTTGAGCAAAGCAAAAGTGTTCTGTGTACCGAATCATCTTGTTAGTTCATAGAAACTTTATTACTTTTTTAACATTTGCATTATTATTTTTTTACATCAGTACAAATGATAACTTTTACACACTGTTTGTATACTTTTTTCTTTTAAGCAAAATGTTGTAACCATGTCAATATTACATGTACTGTATAAGAGAACTACAAAAAATACAGAGAAAAGTGGGGGAAGAGGAAAAAGAAAGAAAGAAAAAAAGGAAATAAGGGGGATTTAAGGTATTTCTACAAGGGTTCAATCTCTGCTCTCTTGTAAAAGTTCTCAGTAGATAGATTCAATATTACATAGAAATTCTTAGTTTTATTTGTAAAGGGGTGGTCCACTATGATATCATATTTTAAACTTTAGTTGATGTGTAATGTAGGGAGACTTTGGCTTTTACAGAGTTAGCTTAGCAAAGCATACAGCGAACAAAGTTTGGGGGCTACAAAAAATACACCCGGGCTAGATCACAAGGGCTTCTGGTTGCGCACATTCACCACGCTCACACACCTTGCTCAGTGAAGGGGCATGGCCAGAGGTGCTGTGATGTTATAGCAGAGAAAGTTAAAATGTAGTCCAAATGCTGCTATTTTCACAGAGCTTGTTCTGTTTCTGTATCTGTATTTAAAGGACACAACACAAAGAGAGAAGTGCTTACAGTTTAATTTTGATTATGTTCCAGAGAATAATAAAAATATATAGCTAGCATTTGACAAAGGACATTCGGTTCGGTTACGATTATCATGCCATAGATTCGGTTCAATTCGATATTTCGGTGCATCACGGTGCATTGACGGTGCTTTTCATACACAGTTTTATATTTTCTTCACAGCAGCATTTCTTGTATTAAAATGTATGAATATATTTATATTTATATTCTATTTGTGATACAATTTTGTCATTTAATACAAACAGTCAGATATATAAACTGTAACTTTAAACAAAACGAGCATTTAGCAAATAATATAAACAAATATAAATATCCAGCTTAATTTCTGATCCTTGTCTAGTTCTCTTACACCCCTTTGATTGGTCACACCCTCAAAAAAAAACGGTTGCGATTGGCTCTCGCGCGCTGCGCTCTTCACAGATGAGTGACACTGATCAGCGGCAGGCGGCAGCGGCGATCTCTCAGCTGATGTATGATAGACACGGTGGAGAAAACTCTGCAGACACGCGCTCGTTTCTGTATACAAAAGTAACGCTGTAAAACAGCCGAGAAGAGAAGAAAAGCCACGCCAGCAGGTCAAATGGGCCACTGTGTGTGTGAGAAAGAGAGAGAGAGAGAGAGAGAGAAATGGAGTAGGCTACTTTCATTCTCTCGATCTCAGTGAAATAGGGGCTATTGTTGTATATGTCAGTGAAAGACTGATCCAGCAAACACACACAGTGAAATTGTGCACAGTTTATGAGTTTTAAGAAGTTAAAGCGCTGTAAATACTCGCGATCGCCTCCCTCGCGCATATGAGGTAAATGACGTCAGTAATAACCGGTTATAATTATTACTGAACCGATACCGAATTGTCCGCGTCTGGATCGCAGTGCACCGAAGAAACGATTAATTTTGACACCCCTAATTAACGGTATGTTGTAGCGAGGATGTAAACAACAGGAAATGCTGTTTGGCACCGCTAACAATTTGGCTATAAATTCATATTTATCTGTCAAACCGTTGGAAACACCCACACTCTTCACCAGTGCTGCATTGTTTCTCTATGCATCTGCTTTTCTCGCATTCTACATCTCAAATAACAAACTCGCAAAAGATATGTGAACGTTTCATATTACTTACACGTGCTTATTCCGAATATATGTGAAAGACTTTTCAAAGAGATTTTATTTTTGAGAGCAGGCGTGAGGTTCGGCTGTATCTTCTTTATTCTTTTGACTGATTCAGGCAGCAGATGCTGCTAATAGCAGCTCTGACTGACTGTTTACACAACAAAAAAGTGCACACTTGTAGGGACGTTACGTGGAGCCGATCCTCGAATCACAGCACATTAAATTAGCTGACCAACCAGAGCCTCTTGAGGGTGGTCCTTTCAGAGGAACTAGGAAAAATGACATTTTTCATTTTCATGTTAGCTGAATAGCTGTATATAATTAAAGTAAGATATGTGAAAAATAACGTGATTTTCTACAACTTTTCGTTTCCAATTCAGTAAAATCAATCTACGTGCCAAAAGAGTTATAAATCTAATCATTGTAAGTTGATTTTTAGATAACTCTGCATCATCACTGACACCAATCCCAATTCTAGCCCTTGCCCTTACCCCTACCCCTTGATTTGTGCGGTCATGCCAAGGGGTAGGGGTGTCCCAATTCTCTTTAACTTGAAGGCATAGGGCTTTAGTGGCTCAGTGGGTAGCACCGTCTCCTCACTAGTCTCCTCACAGCAAGAAGGTCTCTGGTTCGAGTCCTGGCTGGGTCAGTTGGCATATCTGTGTGGAATTTGCATGTTCTCCCAGTGTGCGTTTCTTCTAGGTGCTCCATAGTGCTGGGCGATAAAATTGATATTAATGTTTATTGACTGAACACCAGTGTCAAAATTGATTAAAAAAAAAGTTTGGCATGACGTTTCGGTATGAAGGCTATAGTTTTATTAAAATGTGATTTCTGAGCACGCGTCTTGGAAAGAATGCCAATAAGCTTAGGGTGACAGTTTGCCATTTCCAATCGAGGTGCGCGACTTGCATGACACGTGTATGGGAGAAACGCACATGTACAGTTTTTTATTTGAAAATATCTGAATTTTTCTGAATGCCGCGAGTGCACCATCATTCATGTAAGTCAAACTAACAAATCTGCTTCACACTTTGTATGGAATATACACATTCAGTAAAGGTAGACTAATTACCTCAGACAAACAAAG